CAGGGCGCTCGGGTCTCGTTCCAGTCAAGCTACGCATAGAAGTGTCAGTGATGATAGAATTACAACCAGCGACTCTTTCGAGTATGGGCTTGCAAATTGGGACGATGTGCACGCTGGCCAAGGTGCCTCATGCCTCAATGACCCTTGGACAAGCGAGGTAGAGCAGTCTCGCGTGATACGACGTCATTTTTGCCGGTATCAGCCGCGATGATCGAGCCCTTAGGGTCTGACGCATCGCCATCCTTGCCAACACTCTCGGCTTCAGGATGAGCCTGCATCTCCGCCTCAGCAGCCGTCTCTTCAGCAACCCTGACATGATCGAAAGGTTGCTGCTTTGGCCCCCGCTCTTTGCGCTTGGAACCTACCGGCTCGCTAGGCTGCACTGTGTCTTGCGAGGCAGAATCGTCCACAGCGCTTGGAGGTGGAGAGCTAACTTCGGAGTCGCTTGAATGGACTTCCGCATGCCCCTCCCATTGCCGCCGAAAGATGCGTGTGTGATGACCGGCTCTAAGTGCGGGGTCACCTCTACGCCTCTCTCTCAATCTTTGCCTGCGCACGAAGGAGGGGAATCATGAGTGGCCCGGTCAGAGAAAAGCTTCCGGAAAACATACAGTCACGAGTGGTGGATGACTCTTCCCCAACTCACCGCTCTTCAGCTTCTCGATCCTGGACGAAGATGTCTACGATGCCTTGTGGTGGTCCCTCTTCTTCGTCAGAGGGCTTGGCTTTCTTCGGCTTCCTACTCCAAAACCAGCCTTTGCTCTCCTTCTTAGGCGCGTCAGACTCCGTGTGAGTCTGTTCTGAGCTCTCGCCAGTCGCACCGTAGTCTGCGGCAGTGTCCTGGCTGGCCTGAGACGCGCGCTTGGCCTGTTGCGATTCATCGTCCATCACCTTGCCGACCTTGGACTTTTGGTCTTTGCGCTGTTTGTGACGCTTGATGGCTTGATCGTCCCTCTCCCGCGATCGCCGTCGCTGCTCTTCCATTCCGACATCCACAGTCGGATAGGCATAGTCCCCGTGTCGCAGATTCCTGCTTTCCGTAAAGAGCTTCTCCAGATCAGCGTCCATTTGCGGCTCGTCAAACTCCAGCGTCGAGTTGTCCGCCTCTGCATCGGGGTGCAAGCGATGCCATGTCTGTTCCGCCCGAGCGACCGCAGCAGAGGCAGCAGCTCTGGGATTTATACGGGACGGGCCTGCCTCATCTCCCCCCTCTCCAGGACCATCACCAGGCTTTGAAGCGTCGGGATCTGGATGCACAATATCTTCTGCTTCTGTTTCTAAAAGCGGCGCGTAGCCCTCTCGCGCCATGACCCGATGATCAAGCCATTGCTTGAATGCGGTGGCGGGGCCTCTGTGGCGCGTGCCGAGGGGACCATCTAGAGAGCCATCGACCGCAGCCCATTGCGGCAGCCAGTACTTTCCTGAGAGGAAAAAAGTCTGTTTCAGGAGGAGCCAATCAAAAAAGCTAGCGTTTGCGCTCACCTTTGCCGCCTTGGGTATAACGCAATCCGGCCTTGCTACGCCTAATCCTCCCCAGCCCTTGATGAACTACGCCCTCGCTCGGCTCAAAAGTCTGGTACCCATAGCCCTTTCCGCTCAGCGTGCCTACGCTGTCTGAAAGCACGTCATAGCCTCCGGTCGCATCGCGAAGCGCATACAGTGCGGGCAGCCTAGCCGCATAGTGCGCAAAGGGATCCACATAGTCTCTGGGCGAGAAGGCATAAGCGTGGCCCAATGCAAAGAGCGGCATCTCAAAGCTGACCAGCATGTCCTGGATAGCCAGCGCAAGCTTTGCTTGATCGCTGATCGGCCCAATGTTCGTGATTGCACCGGCAGCCACCAGGATGGAGACTGCAAGGCCTTGCCAAAAGCTGAAGAAGATGATGCCCTGGACGAATCGGCTCACGTAATGTGAGCAGAAGCTATCCGACATATAGACGTGGTGGCCTACATACCTTGATGCACAAAAACTTGGAAGTGACTCTGAAAGGCGCCAGATCTTCAGACAAGCAAGCCCAGAACATGGCCAGCGCACACAGCGACAGAAAGACACTGAAGTTGTAGACGAAGCTGACATAGGTGTAGCCGTTTGTCCAACTCAATTTGCCTTCTTCATAGTGACCAGTGATTTTGAGAAATACTGTGGCGACCGCGAGTACGGGCTTGACTTGGACGTACTGGAGGATGCCTCGCTTGAGCGCTAGGAACGTATAAGGGTCGCTGACGTCCATGGGTTGAAAGAGGAGATTGAATGGGAAAGGATGCTTGGTGGGTGCCCTGCCATGAGCCAGGATAAGCAGTGACCGCTCTCCCCCAAGATACTCTACCAGAAGCGCAAAGAAGCAGTAGATGACAAACGCTTCGTATATGTCCCTGACCAAATCGATAAAGAAGGCTCCTTCCAAGCTCGTGATGCTCGCCAAGCTGCTGAGACTGTAGATGGGCACCATGAGCAGCAGGCGTACCACTGACCGCTGCAGAACCGGCTTGCGATAGGCTCTGAGGTGTGAGTTGATGGAGTAGAAGGATAGCAAGGTCGAGAAGAGAGCGGCTACCGCGCAAGCGGTGATGTACTCATTCGGCAGCGACGCTGACTCTGACCG